ATGGGAAAAAACGATTAATTTCAATAATCGAGTAGGTACTCGAGTATCAAGCGATTGCAATAACCGAGTGATCACTCGAGCGAAATATCGCTCGTATTTAAAAATACGGTTTTTTTCGCTTGTTGTAAGTACTCGTTAACGCCAGGCGCCAAGCAGTAAGCTGCGTGCGCAGGGCACATATTCTTTCGGTAATGAACGGCAAGTGGCAAGTAGTAAGCGTAGAGCGATTCGCTTGATTTAGTTTATTTCGAAGCATTGTCGATGTAGGTCGTAATTTTGTCCCTCAGATACGCAACGGATAAATATACCGGGTGCGACTCAAAAGTGGCTCACCCCTATAACTTTTTTATTTTTTCACATACAACAACGAGATTTGGTATGTTAGTATATATGGGAATATGGGGAAACACCAGAACACCTCATCACTGAGTGCGCCGAGACGACGACCATCCGTGCCATGAACTTTGGTACGGCTGATGTAAAGGATGGAGAGCTGCCCTCTGTGGAGCCGTCTCAGATAATGGCTTTTGTTAAAGCCTTGAGACTGTATGATGAGTTATAACTCAAGAAAGGGGAACACACAATATAGATCTTTAAGGTCGCGGTGACTAACTCCCCTCCTAAACATTCTACATGTTAGTATATGACATAAATTAGGATTGATTGACAATTGTTTTCGGTCGCTTCCGGTTTCACCGGAAATGACTACAACTTTTGATTTATAAATCGCACTCTCGGTATTTTTTTTACTTTATTCGGTAGAAAATGACACTCTGAATAGAATAACATATCACATGTCAACTTTTGACATTTTCGCATATGTTTTATTTGAAATTGTAACATGCAGTTCATAACGACAATTTGACTCGAAGTACCAAGTGTTTGGTATCAAATTATTGCAGGGCAAGACACTAAAAACATTAGATGATTAAATCTATTTTTCCAAGGCTCCTTGATTAAAAATTAGTGTTTTTAACACAGCCATGGCACTCTAGATTGAAATTTAAAATACAATTTGTTTTTAAGCGAATATGTCGAAAGTTGACATATGATACGTCATTCTATTTAGAACGTCATTTTCTATAGAATAAAGTAAAAAAAAAATACCGAGGGTGCCATTTAAAAATCAAAAATTGTAGTCATTTCCGGTGAAACTGGAAGTGACAGAAAACAATTGAATACGTCAATCAACCTAATTTATGTCATATATTAACATACCAAATCTCATTTTTTTATCTTAAAAAAAATAAAAAAGTAATAGGGGTGAGCCACTTTTGAGACGCACCCGGTATATACGGCGTCGTATAAATTTGCTACCTGCAATGTATGTAGAAAATTCGCTCGGCTTTTTATCGAGTATGTCACATTAAAATCGGACTTCAATTTATTTCATTCTAGGATCGCTTGCGTTCGTCGCTTGGTACTCGTCACTTGCATCGCTCGTTCATGATCGAGCGATGTCGGTTATTTCAATAATCGAGTACTCTAGTGAATTTTCGATCGAGTTATCCCATCACTAAAAAAAACTAATGTGTTTTGATAGCTAGAGCTATCAAATAAATAAATAATTTTTACTATTTTGAGTCCTCCATTCTGACGAACTCATTTCGAAATAATGACATAACTTATTTTTGCATTTCAATTACTTAGGTAACAAAAAAGTTTAGTGTTCTTGCTTAAATTTGCATCTAGCATGTCAAATAATATGTTTTTTGTATGCAATAAAATGCAGTTTTATTTTTACCACAGTACCTAATAGCGCAACTAAACTATAAACAATAACACATTAAATTTGGTCAATTAAAGGCGGTATTTCTATTAACAGTTTACCACCGAACGGCGATATTTCGTTATATTATACGTTTAGCAAAAACCGCTGTACTTGAAAAATTTACGGCGTTGTTCGGCGGTATTCCTGTTGATAAATATGTAAAACTGTCTAACAACGGTCTTCCTTTCGTCAATTGTCTATAGGCTTGGTGCATTCTCCGACGGTGTTGCCACCATCGGATAATATCGTAAACTACTGGTATACAGTATACAAATAGACAGGTTTAAATAGCAAGTATTCGAAAAATCTATTATATAATTATTCTAAAAGTGTTAGGAAATATAATTTGTGAAATTTCTAAAAAATAAAAAAGTAAATATTTTGATATCTTCAGCAGGTCTAATCTATCGTTGCTTGTATTATAATTTATTATTCCAGCCAAGAATCTTTTTAGATGAGTTCAACTACGGTAGCGAGTATAGTTTTACGCACCGGTTTTGCTAGTGGGGCATAATTGATGCTATATCGGCTATAGGATTGGTGCATTCTCCGCCGGAGAACTCGTATATAACAAATACTTACAAATACACGGGTTTAAATGGTGAGTAAACGAAAAAATTAGTATATAATTTTTCTATAAAAGTGTGAGAAAATATAATTTGTGGAAATTCTAAACAAAAAAATTAAAAGGTAAATATTTTGATATCTTCCGAAGGTCTAACTTGCATTATAATTTATTATTCCAGGTAAAAAAATTTTTTAGATTAGTTCAACTACGGTAGCGAGCATGGTTTTATCACCGGTTTTGCTAGTGGGGCATAATTGGAGCCATTTCGGCTATAACGAAATTTTTTAAAGGTACATAATTATAATTTTAGGAGATGTTCATAAAACATTTAATCACTAGTTGATTAAAAAAGTATACCATTAATATTGCAAATTATATTTCATCTTCTCATAGTACATAAACCTGTCTATTTAATTTTTTGATTATGTAACGAGCACTTTGTTTACTCAGTTGTTTCGTCGAACTGTTTGAATCCATTTTTGCTGTTGATCAAATCGGTGTAAGAAATTATGAAGCTATAAAATGTTGTTTCGAGAGAGTTGAATATCTGGGAAAGTTCAGTTATTGAATGTTATTGCACCCAACAACGCCCTAATTACGCTCTCCTTTACGCGTTAACATTTTTTTAGGCAATTTTATTAACATTTGAAATTGTCACAACACAACAAGACGCCTAGTTCGAATTATTTTTCACTTATTTTATACTATCCGAAACAACATTACATCACACAAACCTCTTACCTGAATGTTTTATAGTCTCAATAACTGCACTAGCAAATAACTAAAATACTTAAATATTATGACAAAGCCACGATTTCAATATTATTTCAATGCGATCAACATGACGCACAGTGAGGTATTTGACACAGATAGTTGATCGAAATTTTTTTTATGTAGACCTTATATAAATTATTGCTATTTTCAATTAAAGAGGAAATAATATGAACAAAATAAAGGATAATTCGTCGATTCTAAAAAAAAGAAAGAAAAATCACTGTTCCAGTGTTTCCACAGTCAATGAAACTAATCCCAGTAGTAATATCACAACTAATACTACTAATGCTACGACTGATCCGCGACCAATGCCCATACCACTAAAGTCGCTACTAATGCCAAATTGTGCTATACTGCTAATGGCACTAATGTGATCGCTTTGTACACAATAATGCCATCGCGGTTTACACCTCGCATCAGTATATCACTGATTGGCAGATTAGAGGAAACCAAGAATGTTTTTCTCATTTTATCAGCAAAATCGTAAAAAGTCGCAGTATTTTACTGTATGAAAGCCCAATGTTTACTAAGTAAAACGTATATAGACAATATGCTGAATTCTTCGAAATGCGCAACTAAATCTCTAAGTATAATAAAAATCTCACAAATTTAATCAAATTTTCTGAACGCCTAACTTTTAGTTGCAAAAAAAATCGTTTGTATAGAGAATATCAAAATAAATAATAGGTTTTTGTAGAATAGATACCTGCAGCTTGTTGAGCCATTTTCAATCAAAACAATAATATAAACGTAAAAAGAGCACAAGAACAATAATAATTTATAATTTTAAACATAAAATTTAGCCATTTACCTCTTATCTGTGAGAAGCAACAACTCTGATGTTTCGTTGAAACAAATGAATGCAACTAAACACACCCATAGCAACGCCATTCATGGCAGACATGATTTAACTTATCATTTATCTTTTTTTGGGAAATCTTAAACACATTTGCTTTTTCGAATTTCGATCACCTTTTTCATGCTAATACCCCACCGTGTGACGGCGCGAGCGGCGTGAAATACATACTGATAATTTCTGATTTCTGCCGTTGGAGCGCTGCGGTCGGAATTTGTTGAAATCAACTGAAATGCACCAAGCCTATACCCGGCATTTCTAATTTCTGCCGTTAGAGCGCTGCGGGCGGAATTTTTCAAATGAACAGAAATGCACCAAGCCTATAGTTTGTTTAATTAAAACTCTAAAAATATTATATATATTATACAATATTTAAAATATTTTAAAATATTATACAACATTTTAAAATATTATACAATATTTAAAATATTGTATAACACGAGTTAAAATAATTTAGGATTAATAAAAAATAAATCACATTAAGTTTAACTAGATGTTATATTAAATCATTTATGTTACAATATCAAATATTTCAGAAAATTATTACGTTCTAATATGTTTCTATTAACCTTTATCCAACAAAGTAATAATCGAAGCCTAAACCAGATTTGCTCGTATTATAACAATGTTCAGTGGATTATTATATTCCAAGGGAAAATAAAATCCTATCTTCAGGTTAATTTAATCTGAATATATCGATTTACTTTATCTAGAGAGGAAATTTTCCAAGACCAGATTTGATTTTTATTATAGTGGAAAAAAATGTCTTATGACCTAAATTTTTAAAAACAAATATGAATTATTTTTTAATAATTTTAAAAATAATTATAAAACTTTTTCATCCATATTTTACATAAACATATCACCTTTTATAATAAAAAAATAAGTCCCAGTTTTATAAAGTGCAATAAGTAAAAATATTTATTAATTATGACATTAAAAAGTTGTATAGCGATATATTTTTTAATTAGTTTAATTTTAATTTATTTTTGGTTTAATTTTTGATAATTTCCATTTTGGTTTTGTTCCAGGAAATGCTTTCTACATTTTGGCTTACCTGTGATTGTATAAGTGACTTGGTTTTTATATTAGACCTGGCTGTACAGTTTAGAACAGGATATTTAGAACAAGGTATGTGATAATTTTATTTGGGCTAAGGTTAAGCTAAATGCTAAATAATTAAATACAGGGTTGCATGAAAAATATACCGTATTTTTATGGTAAATAGCTTTGGCATTACATATGTATGCTTATATGAAACAATTCTATATAACAATCCTGATTGCATACATGAAAGGCATTACTGTCGAATTTTAGATACACTATGTAACTTAAGCCAACGCATATAAATAAAGACACAGCCTTAAAAACAAACGTAACAGATTATTAACAAATTTATTTATATTAAATAATTAACAGGTTTAATGGTATATGATTCCAAAAAATTGGCCTCTCATTACCTTCGCTCACGTGCCTTCGTATTGGACCTGATTGCCCTGTGTCCGGCAGATTTGTTACAACTCAAATTTGGTCCCAATCCCCTGCTAAGGTGTCCTAGATTTTTAAAAGTAAGTTTTTCTACAAATTATCTAAATAATAAAACGGTTAAGTACACAATTTAAATACGGGTTTATTCAGTGTTAAATTATACATAATATAATGGAAAATAAATTTCTTGCAGTTTTTAAGTATAATAAAATTATATAAGAGTTTCTTGCCTTGAACTGCTAATATAGAAATTAATTCCACGCTGTGTTCGACATAATGTGGTTCAACCTGCTCTCACTACCGGTTTCGGGGCCCTACCCCATCATCAGGTGACCTTGGGTCGTTTCCACAATATGTCGAGCACAGCGCAGAGTATATAAATACGACTATCTAGTAAAAACTGCAAGAAATTTATTTTCCATTATATAATTTGGGCTAGCCGAAAAAAACCTTTATTTACTATCGATAGTTGTGCCTCGGTGCATAAATCTATCTCGCGATGCGGGTCTTAATATTTTACCGCTACTTTACGACAAGTCGTATTTATATACTCTACGCTGTGTTCGAGATATTGTGGAAACGACCCAAGCTCACCTGATGATGGGGTAGGGCCCCGAAACCGGTAGTGAGAGCAGGTTGAACCACATTATGTCGAACACAGCATGGAATTAATTTCTATATTAGCAGTTCAAGGCAAGAAACTCTTATATAATTTTATTATACGTAATATGTTATACCCTATTAAAATTATCAATTATACTCTATTAAAAATTCGATATAGATATACATAAGTTAGATATTAATATATAAGGTGGTTCTAATTGTATTCGGGAAACTTCCACAGCATATTCTGCAGATAAAAATAAATAAAAATGTTCGTATAAATGTATGTCCTAAATTGCTTCGTTTCAGAGATACACGGTGTAGATAAATTTCATTTGTATTTCGAAAATTGGCGTCTGGGTGTTTTTTGATATGAAAAATTTGATTTCGGCCTCAATATCACTCCTACTTATAGGAGACGCCACCTACATGTTTCTTAACTTATATGAAGAGCACTAGCTTTTTGTCCATACCTATATAAAACTACTGAGTGAAACAATATACTTTCAGTAATTTCTTTCGTTAAAAATGTCTCTAGGTATTAATTGCTACGAGCAACCGTTTTCAAGATATTTGGAATGGAAATAGTCAATATAGGTCATTATTCACAATAAATAATCATGTTGACTTTCCTGTTCACATGAAAGTAATCATGTGAAGTTTTTTACTTATTTTTATCTGTAGAATTTACTGTCGAAGTTTTCCGAATAAATTCGGACCACCCTGCATATTAAGATTGCTATTAAGAAGGCTGAAGAAGCAAAACAGAAAAAGTATAAAAATAAAACAACAGTAAAGTACAGGGTGCTCGAAATTGGTATGTTTTACCAGAAAAAAAAACTATTGCCTGACTAGATAGAGCAAAAACGGAATAGATGTCATGAGCTCGATTTCTGAGAAACAGCTAATGGCGTAAACCGCCTGTTCATATTTTCACTGCCATCCGAGATACGGTTTTTTTTTTAAATTTTTACCGTTTGGAAAATTGCCCATAACTTTTGTATTTCGTGGAATAATAAAATTCTGTATAAACGTTCTTAAGGCACATTTTTAAGCACAATCCAGTGGCTTAGTCAGTTTTTTCTATACTTGCTCTTTTTGTCAGATATAATAAAAAATATAATTTTTTAAATGGAAATCATAGTTAGCTATAAACTTAAAAAAAATCTGGCATTTAACCCTTTCTAACGATATAAAGTTATGTGTATTCATTTTTAAGAATGAGAGAGATTTAGGTTTTTTTATCTTTGTATCGAAGCGGGCCTTGATTTTTTGTGACATCATAATTTAATATTCTATATTATTATTTACCTGCATAATTAGGGACTTTTGAAAAGGTAAATCAACATTCTATATTAGTATTACCATTTACAATAATTATTATAACGCCAGGGTTACAACTGCCCTATTAAATGGAGAATTTAGAGAGAATTGGACTGAAACAAGGGGTCCCATATCTTGGCCTGCTAGGTCCTGTGATTTAACTCTTTTCGACTTTTTTATGGGGGAAATTAAACGACCTTAAACATATACAGGGTGAGTTTCCTACGATGTTCTCTAAGGAAACTACTGGAAATAGAGAGTCAGTTAAATGGGGAAAGAATTGCAGTTTTGTGGGGTCATAAATATGCGCTTTTCAGATTTACGAAAAAGTTCATGGCTTACTAGATATTTCGAAAAAAACAAATTTTAGCTATTTTAAAAATTGTCCCTAATTCCATTATAATCTATTTTAGACAAAAAGTTTTCAGATAAAAGTTGTAGATAATCAATCACATTCCTAATGAGTTCTCCGATTTTTTCTAAAGCCTGTCATTTTTAACATATGACACAAACATATGTTTTTTTAAATGGAAACCATAGTTGGTCATGACTTCATAAAAAGCGCCATTTTTTAAGCTTTTCAGCGATATAAGCTGTAATATGTTTCTTTCACAAAATTACTGAGTTATAGCCAATTTTTATCTTTCTTGACTAATTTCACTTAGTTAGCCATGGAAACAAGTTCAATCGTCGTTGCTCTCAGGAATGTGAAATTGTCACATCCAATATTTGTAAATTAACATAAACAAAAATGGAATTGTAAATAAGAGTTTTTTAAATGAAGAAAACCGTGTAGAATTATTGGTTCAACTTTTCTTGACCATACAGTTTCCAGGATACGTTGACCGGTGAACGTTACGTTTTTTAGAGAACGGTTTTCAAGACATGATAGAACAGTTAAATTTAGATACTCGCGCATTAATACAGTGGTTCCAATATTACTTTCATTATGACCCACCAACCCCCCCCCCTCCAAAATGAAACCCCACAATGAAAGAAATGTTAAAAATTATTTATATCATAATTATGTAGACTCAGGGATAGAAAGAGGTGGACCAATTGCATGGGTCTCCTCGGTCACCTGACCTATCCATTTTAGATTTTTTTATGCGGTATGGTTAACAACAAGGTTTACAAAAGAACTGATGAATTAAGAGAAGCACTCGAAGAGGCGGAACAGGAGAAGTTTAATTAAGTCGACCGGTCGTACTGTGACAATAGCTAGAAATTCAGTTTTAAAAAGATGTACTCACAAAATAATTGCGGATTTTTTGAACATTTTCTAAAATAACTTAAAGTGTACGTAGTGATATTATTTTTTTAAGTTTTAGTTTGTGTAGTGTAAATTGTAAACAGCCGTTTAATAATATATTTTGTCTTTTTATAAGTTATAAATCACCAAAATTTGAACACCATTGAAAACCGTTCTCTAAAAAACGTAAGTAACTTTCACCGGTTAACGGATCCTGTATGGCCAAGAAAAGTTGAACCAATAATCCTACACGCTTTTCTTCATTTAAAAATTTTTATTTACAATTTTTGTTTATTTTAATTTACAAAGATTGGATGTGACACAATTTCACATTTCTGAGAGCAACGACGATTGAACTTGTTTCCAAGGCTAACTAAGTGAAATTAGTCAAGAAAGATAAGAATTGGCTATAACTCAGTAATTTTGTGAAAGAAACATATTATAGCTTATATCGCCGAAAAGCTTAAAAAATGGCGCTTTTTATAAAGTCATAGGCTACTATGGTTTCCATTTAAAAAAACATATGTTTGTGTCATATGTCAAAAATAACAGGCTTTAGAAAAAATCGGAGAACACAGACTCATTAGGAATGTGATTATCTACAACTTTTATCTCAACACTTTTTGTCTAAAGTAGATTATAATGGAATTAGGGACAATTTTTAAAATAGCCAAATTTTGTTTTTTTCGAAATATCTAGTAAGCCATAAACTTTTTCAAAAATGTGAAAGGCGCATATTTATGACCCCACAAAACTGCAATCCTTTCCCCATTTAACCGACTCTCTATCTCCAGTAGTTCCCGAGATGCCCATAGAGAACATCGTAGGAAACTCACCCTGTATAAAGAAAGAACAGATGGGAAGAGAGAAGAATTACAGAAGGCTACTAGGCAGAGTTTTGGACATATTACACCAATTCGCTAATAAATCGTTGTAACTCTCTTTGATGATTTTTTAGAAAACTATATTCGTCACTCAAAAAATACATTTTTTTAGTTTTGTTCTTTGTTTATTGAATCGGTTTGAATTGTAATTACTAATACTAATATAGAATACTAACATAGAAAAAAACTGACTACGCCACTGGATTGTGGTTCAAAAAGTGCCTTAAGAACGTTTTAACAGAACTGTATTATTCCGCAAAATAAAAAAGTTATGGGCAATTTTCCAAATGGTAAAAAATTCAAAAAAAACCGTATCTCAGTTGGCAGTGAAAATATTAACAGGCGGTTTACGCCATTAAACGTGTTCAGAAATCGAGCCCATGACATCTATGTCGGTTTTGCTCTAGTCAGAAAATAGGGTTTCTCTATTAAAACAGAACAATTTCGACCACCCTGTACTTATTATGTAAGTTCTGCTTGTACTAACTAGTTCAGAATAAATTTAAAATCTCTATAAAATCGTATTTACCATCATTTTAGTTAATATATATTATATTATGTTAACATCGATAATTAAAAACTGCAAATAACATCTTGAAGTCTATAATTTTAACACTAGATTTTTGTAATTTAAAATCAGTTCCACACTTTCTTATGCTATACATTTTTAGGTGTACAGAGCTATCGACTATTATTATATGGTAGAATCAAGAACGGTATGGCCAAATTTATGGAGGGTGGTCAATCTCATACACATATTATTGATCCTTGCTCATTGGTTTGGATGTTTCTACTTTCTATTATCTGAATCAGAAGGGTTCCAGGTACATAATGAAAATTAAATTAATATTTTAAGAAATACATCTTTAAAAAAATAAATTTCTTTAGAATATATCAAAATTAAATATACCAAACCAAATCAAACAACTATTAATTAACTTATTATTCATATATTTTTAAATAAAGATTATTTTTAATTAGTTTTAATTATTTTTTTCATGTATTTTAGGGTGACTGGGTATATCCCTATCGACCTGGAGATTATGCGACCCTTACAAGAAAATATTTGGGGTCACTTTATTGGTCAACGTTGACTTTGACTACAATAGGGGACTTGCCGACACCTGAAACAAATGCACAGTAAGTATATTGTTCTAATAACTTAAATAATATTACACTAATAACTTAAATAATAAATTAACTTAAAGTGAGTTTCATACTTTGTTAAGTTATGATAAAAATATTTTTGTAGGTTTCAAAATCAATCAATATTATTCGTAGATAAATACAACTGGTATCAAATACACATATACAGTTTTTTACATGAATATGTCAAATGTCAAAATAAGAGAGTGTTCTTATTCTTATCAAGGGAAGAATCAATAAAGTCTTAAAATGACTAAGATGATCTCTTCAGTTTTTTAAAATGTTAATACACTCAGATAGAAAAAACGCAATGGACAAACTTATCGTCAAATTTAAAGTATTACATATTTTTTTGCTTGCTTTTTTTAGCTCTATTCCTTATTCCACCAATTTTTTAGCAAACTGTATACCGGGTGCGTCTCAAAAGTGGCTCACCCCCTATAACTTTTTTATTTTTTCAGATAAAAAAAACGAGATTTGGTATGTTAGTATACGACATAAATTAGAATTGATTGACGTATTCAATTGTTTTTGGTTACTTCCTGTTTCACCGGGAATGACTACAACTTTTGATTTTTAAATGACACCCTTGGTATTTTTTTACTTTATTCGATAGAAAATGTCATTCTGAATAGAATGACATATCATATGTCAACTTTTGACATTCACGCTTAATAAAAAATCTTATTTTAAAATTCAATCTAGAGTGCCATGGCTATGTTAAAAACACTAATTCTTAATCAAGGAGCCTTGGAAAAATAGATTTGATCGTCTAATGTTTTTTGTGTCTTGTCCTGGCCAGTTAGAAAATGCTGAAATCTTATTTTTAATCATATCTCATTTTTTTTCAAATGGAACGAGGGTGGCTCATTAGCATATTTGGAAAAAGCATTTTTTACGAATAATTTGATACCACATATTTGGTATTTCGAGTCAAATTTTCGTTACGAACCGCAAGTTATAATTTCAAATAAGCCATATGTGAAAATGTTAAAAGTTGACATATGATATGTCATTCTATTCAGAGTGTTATTTTCTATCAAATAAAGTAAAAAAATATCGAAGGTGCCATTTAAAAATCAAAAGTTGTAGTCATTTCCGGTGAAACAGGAAATGACCGAAAACAATTGAATACGTCAATCAATCCTAATTTATGTCATATACTAACATACCAAATCTCGTTTTTTTAACTAAAAAAATAAAAAAGTTATAGGTGTGAGCCACTTTTGAGACGCACCCGGTATAAGTATATCAATAATTCGTCATCTAATGTAATTAGTAAAATGATAATTGAAAAAAAATAAAATTGTTGTTGGCAAGTTCATTTCGCTTTTAAAAATTAACCCAGGCATATATTGATATGAGCCAAAAAACAAAATGCTCTGGAGTCATGGTTCTCACCGAAAAATAACGTTTTAGGAAAATTTATTCACGAAATTATTGCACAGGGTGTTTTAAAGTTAGGGTAAAAAACAACCCTTGATCAACCCTGTATAATAAGCCAAACACAAAAGTTTATAGAAAAACTGAGTTTACCTATGAAATTAGATATATTTATATACAGTTTAAATTCTTAAAAATAGTGCTAAAAATAAATAAATAAAATTGCGTGTGCACTATGTGCGCATATTTGAAATGAAACTTCTTATTAACAGCTATTAAATTGAAGGATTTGAAGGACATGTTTGAAAAAATGTAGTTTGAAATGTTGAAAAAGTAATAAGTTAAAAATTAATAAATAGTTTAATTCACTTTTGCAAAATTTGTATTAAAATTACCGTCTGTCCGTCTGAGGACTCCATTCGGGTATCTCTATTCACATGCTGAGTTTGGTTCTAATCGACCCATAATTAAAAAAAATCCTGATGATTTCGTCCATTTAGAGGTATCGGTTCGAAACTTCGAGTGCGTCATCCTGTAGCCCGTCCCCAATTATTATATTATTTATCGACCAATATTTTTCTTCAATATCAAATCATTACACTAATGAATCAAATAAAATCAAACATATTTTGCCCTCATTAATGGTCATAATTGAATTAATAAGACAGCCATTGATTTTATGCATATACTCGTACATATAAAACATACATGATCATTGTCATTGTTAGTGGTATATCAGATTTAAAATAAAAATGCTGCTTATTTGATTTAAAGAAATATATATTTATTTATTAGTGTTTTCTTTTGTTTTTCAAATACATTCCTTTTATTTCAAGCCTTTCTCTTTATATCTTGAAGTGCAATGCTTAATGATTTATTAATATGTCACTTCGTTTAAAGCCTGAGTCGATTTTAATCGAATAGGATCAGTACTAACAATTTAAATGAAATAAATATCAAATTTATTAGTATAATAACTTTATTTCGGAATTAATCTTTTGGTGAGAAGTAGGTAAATACAATTGTGTTGAATGTCTTCCAAAATAAAAAATAATAGATACAAGGGTATCTCGGTGAAATTTGTCTAGTGACGAATGGTTTTTGTAATGTCCTGGAATTGATCTGCCTTTGTTAGATTCCTTGAAAAGGTCACAGAGATTCTAAAAAAAGAAAGCAACGTTTAGTTAGGTTAGGTCAGGTTGATTATTCTAAACAACTACTAAAACAACACATTACCTGTAAACGATACATTTCTCCTTTTTGTCACTAACAACTGACACAATAAATAGGTACCATTGTACTATTCAAAATAATGGAACGCGACAAAAATTATATAAAAATGTGTAGTTGATCGGGCTTATCCCGCCAATCTCGCCAAACACGATCTTTCGATGTCCATCTCGAATGACTTTCTAATGGAGAGAATTAATCACGTGGCGATAGCCTACCATAGAAGCCATGTTAGAAGCTAAGAAGCTTCGTTAAAAGCTAAGACATGTGAGGAGTGCACATGATTTTAGTGATAAACGAGAAACCCTGTAAAAAACATGAATTTGGGACACACTTTAAAGCAAAATTGTTCTATTTGCTTTATTTCTCTGAGAATTTTCATCACATTGCAACCATTTCACGTTCAATGTAATAATGTAGAAGTTTTGAATGTATTTAAACTCTAAGCAATTCTTATAGAAATAAAATACTCTCGTGCTTAAAATAAATCTATTATAAGGACGTATTATAATACGTCTTATTGGAATAGATAGAGAAGCAACACTTTTCAAAAATAATAAGGCAATGCCAGTTTATTTTGAACGTAGTTCTTTTGAAACATATAGGGTTATAATTACTTTAAAAGGACTAAATATTAGATATCCGATAAAATAGTATTCACTTTATTTATGAATGCTTTAATTTTTATTATGTATAGAAAACAATATTATATTATCAGCAATCGTTTATGAAACACATAATTAGGTAAATCGAATTCCATAGAACGAGTTAAATATTTTAGCGTTATTTATTGTGCATTTTACAATGCATTTTTTTTAGTGTAGTCCCACGCTGATTATGATATAAACGAAACGTCGCTCACATAGCCTACCCACAAAATTTGATCAAAATTTGATCGCGATCAACTTTTGACGTTTTTTACCAAATTTCATTTAAATCGGACGATTTTTTCTAAGACGTAGGCTGTTCTTACTATTTTCCCTCTCTCCTGTGGTGTCGCGTGTCGTGTCACGGCCTTGAATGTTTATTCTTAGTTTCACTTCAAAAATATAATACTTTAAATTTGACGAAATTTTTTCCGTTGCGTATTTTTTGCATCTGATATATAAAAACATAGTAGAAGGAAAAGAGTAGCTGCACTCTCCCAAATATTTTCTGCCAGTTTTTACATTCTGTCGAATATCGGCAGATTGCAGAGCGTTTCAGTTGAGTTCCGTCCGTCGACCTGCGAGGTTCGAGCGTTGCGTCCCAGCACAGAGACGGATTAACAAAAAACGAGTGCCTTACTGTGTGCTGCTATTGGTTGTAGTAATAATTCAAAAAATTGTGCTTTGAATTTTTTGGGAGTCATTTGTGATCATGTTTGTGTTCAGGTTAATTTTCTCATGACTTATTACTACTTAATAATTTGATATTATTTTCATTTAAACCTCAATTTTTTATCGATTTTACTTTTGACAACCATCCCTTGCTTGCTGTTTAACGAATTGCACCATCATTGAACAAAAATTTGCTACTACTGACAGTACCGAAAAAAACTGGAAATCCCGGTTCCTTAGAGGTATGGTACCGAAATTACCGGTTCCGCAAAACAGCTCCGGTAGTATATTTTGGCCCCAGAAATATGAGGATTTTTCTGCGCAATTTTTTTGAACCGGGACTCGAAATTATTAATTCCCAGTTCTTTCGGTACCTTCGGGACTCGGTAACAATAACTAAAATACTATTCTTTTATAACGCGAGAAAGTAGTGATGCTATATTTCATTGTTCTTGCTTCTTTTCTCTTTTGAAATTTCTGTAACGTCTATTAGCAATTATTGAAGTTTAAATTTGTTATTTTATTATCTAGTACAATGTGTTGTTCAATGTATTAGTTATCCAATGAAAATCACCTAACCAATATATTACTGCAAAACAAACACATCAATGTTAAAATTAAACTTGTTTTAAATTTAAAAAAAGTTGTAGAAAATCTTTCAAATTGATATAATAATATAAAAATATGCCATTATATATATTTTCCGCATTTCTTCCCATCAGAAGATTTTCAGATACAGAAGAATTGTTACTTACAGGAAATGTGAAAATATTCTGTTTTCAAGCAAATTTTTACTCGATAATCAATTTTTTATATTTTATTTAATTGTGAACTCATATTTTCCTAAATACATCTCTGTGAAACTATGGCGAGTGCCACGACTATACTTTGCCTAGTTATAGACCACGACTATACAGCTACGTCAGTGGTCACGGGACGCGAGAACAAAGCCCTATAAAGTGGCAGAAAAAGAACAAAGGATTTAACAAGGAGTAAATCTACTAGTTTCCTTATACTATGATAAAATTATGATTTGACTTTTTCCTTAGTCCTCTTATTTTTTGATGGTTAAAATTGGTAACTGACGTGGGTATAAAAATAATATTATACCTATTTTTGGTTTTTCCTTCAGCAGAGACACGGGTTCAGAGGAGGGCCCTCGGTCGCTGCCGCGCAGAAGGGTTAAATCACGTCTGCTACAGTTCAGGACCAGTAACGGGTAACAATCGCACTGCATTTTTCTCGATTTTGCACCCCTTCCGTGTACGACACTGGCAGCGGCAGGACCGAGGGTCGGTCCTAACCGAACAAACGGTGGCCGATCATCTGTTTCAAAATTTACATATTTTTTATACATTTTTTAAATTAAATTTGTAAGAAAGTAGTTTTTTGCTTTGCCGAACAGACCCTGCCGCTGCCAATTTTTTATCGCTGTTTATTTTTTATATGTTTAGTTTTATTGTTGTATGTGTAAAATCTCAAAACTTTTCTGGTTAGAAAGCAAATGAAAAAAAGTATGGCTTTATTTGTCTGTTCGCAAGCAAGAACTTTGATACGCTATGTAGATAAAGTCTGACCAACGAAAGAAAGGATTATTTTGACAGATTACATCCAAGGAATGACAGAAACTTTAATTTACTCTTGAATTATAATGGCAGACCACAAATGTCATTATCAGTCTTCTTTCGTTGGACAAGCATATGTAATTTTTTCAAATTGAATTCATAAATATTTAATAACTTTTTTTTATTTTTCCGTCATATTTGTACCACCTTATCTATCTTCCTAATAATTGAATCTGTCTAAATCTACTAAATCTGAATTGATTGATTGAATTGAACCAGCTTTTCCAAAATATTCTTTAACTCCAAATAACTATAACCGTACTATAACTGCCTACATTCCAAATGAGTACTAAGCTAAGCTGCCGACTCGTCCCGTCGCTTCGTCTCTCGACGAGCGGGCCGAGGTTGCCATATTTCAACCATAAAACTCTTGCCGCGAGTAATAAACAAATTTACAACCTGTATGTATTTTTTGACATAATATTTTTATATCGAACAATTATAATACTTCTTTCAATGGTATTTATTTAAATATAAAGACTTGAAGTAAATAATGGTTCTAAGTGCCAGAAAATCGAGTTTTATTTGTAAAATTACCTAAATTCCATAACCAACAACACATATAAAGCGCTAAGTGCTACGGCTATTAAATTGTATTGAAAAATATTCTCAACAGAGACACCAACTTATACATTGGTTATATAATAAAAAAAAATGTTTATCTCGAAATAATGATTTTGGCACTTAGAACATTATTTACTTCAAGTTTTCGTATAACCTGTTAAGTGAAATAATATATAATAATAACAGTCAGGGTAATTACCTGCAATTTTAATTTAAAGATAACTTTTATGTCATTTTTTTGAATATTTGTCTACCGGGATTCACATATTGTTTCGCTGGGCAGATTCTAGTTTTTTCCTATTTATATACATCTATGCATCAAATAGTTTTTTTATAAAATGATTTGTTCTATTTGCAGGTATATTTTTACAATAGTTAGCTACCTAATAGGAGTGTTTATTTTTGCGACTATTGTGGGCCAAGTTGGGAACGTGATAACAAATCGGAACGCCAACCGTTTAGAGTTTGAAAGACTTCTTGATGGTGCCAAAACTTACATGAGACATCACAAAGTGAGTAATATCAACTAGATTTTAGATTGTAGATTGTATGGAAGTAGGGAAATTAATCACCGCGACCTTATAGATCTATTGTGTCCCCCTTTCGTTACTTATAACTCATCATACAGTCTCATGGCTTTGACTAAAACTAGTATTGGAGACGATTTTATAAAGGTTAGTTCTCCGTCTCCGATATCAATCGTACCAAAAAAATGGCACGAATGATTGTCATCTCAATGATGAGGCGCTCTGGAGTTTCCCTGTTTTCCTCACTGAATTTTGAATTTTTAGCTTCAATCTATTGAGGTGTTCATTGAGGAGACAGTGTCCTGTTAAAAACCCCATGATAATCGTACTTAAATTAAGGAAAATTATTGATTTTTCTCTGTCGTAAGTTCTGAGAAATATCTTTGAGTGTAGACCGTTGGAGGATTGTCCATTCCAGGTTACGGATGGAACCTTCCAGGTTTTTAAGTTCCGCTTTAAGTTGGTTTCCATTTGGGAAGCAGAACGGTCCTGGTTCAGTTAATGGAATCCCTGCTCCTTTTCTAGCAAGATTGTTTTTTTCATTACCTTAGTAGGAGGACTCTATTTTCTTTCCTAATTGTTCAGCTTTTCTAGGCATTCTTTGACCAACTTCGAATTTATGGTTACTGAGTTGATCGCGTTTAATGTTGCTTGGCTATCAAATAAGATGGCTATTTCCTGTTTCCGATTGTTTCTATCTAAGATAATTTGTACGTACTTTTTGTTAGCGTAAATTTCTGCCTGAAGTATGCTGAGGTAAGTGCCAATTGGTTCGAAGTATTTAGTTTTTGGCCCAAACATTCCTATCCCTGTTGCTGCTTTGGTTTTGGAAGCATCAATATTCCACGTTTCCGTCTGGTTTTTTACCTGCTCAGCAAACGTTTCTCTCTTCCAATGCTTGTCATTTCTCAATACTACAGTGAACTGTTTCTCAAAGTCGTTTATTCTTGGTATATCAACCACTGGGAGTTCAAGAAGTGGCATATTACTTTTGAGGGTGTACCAAGCTCCTGAGCTGACAATTCTCTTAGTACTGTTTCCGTCAATGGTACTTTTAATTATTGTCGCATTACCAACCAGATAATCAAAAAAGCTTCGTACTCCATAACGATTTCTGTTCTCAAATTCCTCAACAAATTCTCATAAGGAACTCAATCACTGTTATAGCCGGCAACACTGTTATGTCGGCAACAGAAAGTCTTCGGTCGGTATTTGCATGTCCATAGTGAATCGCTATGGCGATTCAATATCTTTAAGTCGAAGAGCGGAAAATACGAAGTATTTGTTATGCAATGGGTACTTAACACTTTTCTATCTGTTCAGTACATCTTATTGTATTGAATATATTGACTGAACTTTTCGTATACTAAGGACTGGCAGCGATTAGTCTTCGTCTTTGGGTCTTGGGTCGAGATTAGTCTTGGGTCGAGATTTCCGTATGTAAGAAGAGTACAATGCGTTTATAATGTACTGAACAAAAAGAGAACAGTAAATACGCTTGGAATTGCCAAACGTATGAAATAAACCGAGAAACTGTACACATTGCTAAGAGACGTGGAAGGGGGATATAGCAGATTTGTCGAGAAGTGTCTAGCCCTAACAGTCAACTTTTAAGCTTGACCAATCAGGTTGGTTAGCGTGGTTATTTGAAGTGTGTTAATTCATTTGTGTTTGTCAAAAACTCTAACGTGATTGAAGTTGCCTGCCAGGGCTAGACACAAGTGATTTATCGCAGTTGACCGGTCGACCCAATTACTACCTCTGTCAGTACTTAAAGTTCTAGGGAAAGATACATCAGTACATCATGGCTTCAGCTTCACGATTGAATTACGTCTCGTGATATTTTATTTGTTTATTTATTAACGAGTCGTTGTAATTTTCTCTATAGCTTAAAAAATTTTAAGTGTGAATTAGAAACACTTGCATTTTTAGTAAAAATAAGTGGAATTGAGTTAGTGTTCGACAGTGATTGCGCTATTAGAACTCTGAATTCAAAAATCAATATCTCGAATTCTATTAGAAATAATTGATTGTAGTTTTTTTTCAAAATCTTTCTTAATATTATTGCTATATTTTTTTCGCAGACAGTATGTGAAAAACTTTATAAATAAAAAAGTTACACAATTGCTGAAAATTGCTATGCACTAAAAGTAAATGGATGGGTTATTTAAAATTTTTGAATGGAAAAGAGCAACCTTCTCGAATTTTTCTTATTTAAACATATTGTAAAAGATCCGATCTTCAAAATAAAAAAGTTTCTAAAGTGGTTCTTAAGTTATGGCGTGTTAGGTGTTAAAAAGTTGTGTATTTAAATTATCGCGATTACTGACAAAAAATATTCTTCTCGTTATACAAAATGGACACCCTAACGATATCCTTATAATTCCATTTCAGATGCTGAGAAACGTATCTAGTGATTTTATCTAGTTATCTTTTCGAAAAAAAAGTCTTTTAAAAATAAGCGGTTTGTGATCGTCATTTTACTTTAGCTGATAGGGAAAGGCATACCGGCAACGCCGAAACAGCACATCGCATTTCTCTCACTCCGGCATAATAAAATCCCTATGCGATTTACTTCCACACATGTAAATACCGATCCAAAAGTAACAGTTGCCAGCACGGTACACGAAATTCGGCATCAAAAAACAAGCGTTGCCGACCCCGTATAAAATTGTTTTGCCGGATAATCAAAATCCATTTCTAAGTAAATATGATTATTTTTACTTAAAAAAATGAATATTATTAATTCGTTATAACCGTATGTTTCTTTTTTAAATAATTATTTTGTTTCTATAAAACTATTTTGGCTATAGTTTAAATTTTTTTTGCTATAATGGACTTTTTGTGGTACTGATAATTTAAATTTACATTCTTAATTAAAAATACACGATTGTTTGAAAATTAAATTAGTAAGCGTACTTGTTAAAATGCCATTAATTACTGCTCTTTCACACTCTAACTGCTTAATTGGATAACAATGTATTCATTTAAACAAAAACGAAACAAGATATGAAATATTAAACGCACGTTTACTGAAGAACGTAAATCACTAACGACCCTTTCGGTAAAATTCTGTGAATTTTTAGACGCTAATGGTCATCAAGTTCGTCTAATGCATATGGCAGTTAAGGGTTTTAAAAAGCCGAGTTGTATTTTCAGTATTAGAGAGCTCATAAATTGAACTACAGATTTGTAGTAATTGATGTTACAAAATGTTCATTAAAATAAGAAGTACGCAAATTGAATGTATAATCAAAAATAAAATATTCTCAATTTGTTTTCATTTCTCTCTTTCACATCGTATATGGAAATGTGACAAATATTTAGAAAAAATACCTAATAATGTTGCTTAAACTTATCATAAATGAAGTTAAATGAGGAGGCCTATCAAATCAATAAAATATATCAATGAGTTAAAAATTATTGAACCTATTCTGGGTGCGGGGCCACAGCGGCATCCAAGGCAACGAAAAGGCCGATAAACAGAGCGAGTAATAAATAAATAAAAACGGCTTTATTTTTAACTCGGCGAAATTCAGCAGAGCTGTTAGTTTAACCGAGAATTCAAAAAAAATACAATTATAAGATTACAATAAAAATAAAAAGTTTCACGATATTATCTACCTACCATAATATACCTACTACGAAAAAAGGCAAAAAAAAACAAAAAAGATAGCCACCTAGTTATTTATCTGTAAAAGATGCGTTTTAAATTTTCATTTAAATGTGCAAACCGAGATATTATTTGATTAGCTGATAATTGGATATTGGTTAAGCAGTTTAATTAGTTTTTCAAACAAATATGAGGGGCTCTCAGATTTAATTAATTTATTCAGGAAGCAAGCAAAATGAAGTTTTTGTCGATCCGATATATTTAGCCACTTTAGATCATGAAGTTTGTGGCTCACGTGATCACTACGTTTCAGGTTGTAAATAAAACGAATGCAAGAGTTCTGAACTGTTTTTAATTTGAATTTGGTTGAAACATCCAAACAAGATCCATATACAAAATTACAGTAATTCAAATGACTTAAGACAATTGCTTCGCATAATTTTTTTTTAACTCAAAGTTCAGAATATCTTTGCTTTTATAGATATTGCGGAGATTAATATAGGCTTTTTGGAGAGCTTTTGATACTTGAATACGAAATCGAAGTATGCTGTCGAACACTACACCCAAATTTTTGTACTCGTCAACAATATGGATTCTTACACCATTTATTCACACGTTCAAACTCTGAACTGCCCAATTCTTGACTGGTCCAAAGTAATAGCTGACTTATTTGGGTTCAGTTTTAGGCCGTGATGTTGCGAATATTTAGAGACGGATTCTAGACATTCATTAAATCTCCTTGAGGCTTCCACTGCATCAGATTGTGAAAATGAAATTTGGATTTGCGTGTCATCTGCGTATCTGTGACTATTACACCCTTTAAAATAATTTGACATATCTGCTGTGAAAATGATGAGAAAAGGGGACCCAAAAGTGACCCCTGAGGGACCCCCCTATCAAGTTCAAAAGGCATTGTCTTTATGTTATCCAATACCACTAGCTGAGACCGAAATGGCTTAACTAGCTGAGACCGAAATGGCTTAACTTAAAAGCAGAGCGTGGTTGAGGGTGTCAAATGCTTTGCTGTAATCTAGTAATACTAGGGCAGATGTTTCTCCCTTGTCTGCTGCTAGTAAGATGTCATCCAGGACTTTTAGCAAAGCCGTGGCTGTACTGTATCCTTTACGAAAATCTGACTGCAGTTTGTGTAACAGGTTGTTTCCAGTGAAATAGTCAATAATTTGTCTGTAAATAAGCTTTTCAAACACCTTAGAAAGCACTGGTAACAAGCTAATGGGACGAAGTTCCGTGATAGTTTTAGGGCTGCTTACTTTTGGTAACGGTATAACTTAACCCGGCTAAAACTATGAACCTATGAAGGACCTGCTTATGAAATAAACCTATGAAGGACCTGCACAAGTTAATGTAGGGT